TTGCAACGAATTTTGCGACGAATAAAGTTCGTGGCTAATTTTGCGACGAATTTCGTGACAAATTTTGCGACGAATAAAGTTCGTGGCTAATTTTGCAACGAATTTTGTGACGAATTTCGCGACGAATTTCGCGACGAAATTTGCGACGAAATTTGCGATGAATTTGGCAACGAATTTTGCGACGAATAAAGTTCGTGGCTAATTTGCGACGAATTATTTGCAACGAACGTTTTTCCGTCGCAATTTTGCGACAGAAATTGAAATTTTCCGTCGCAAAATTTTGCGACAACCTATTAGCGACGGACTTTTTTCCGTCGCTAAATTTGTCGCAAATTCGATTTGTGACTGATTTTTCCAAATTTTTCGTTGCAAAATTTGTCGCTAATCCCTTGTTTTTTTGTAGTGATAGCCAAATATAGCTAGACACCGTTAGGAAAAAAAGTACTACTAAACAAAACTCATCAAGTATCATTAGAAAGATCTATTAAATTTCGAAAATTGAAGAAAAAAACACTTCAGTGTTCAAGATTACTGAAAATATCATTATGTATTTAAATGGCTACTGATTCATAACACTATGTGAAATTTAGAAATGATCAAAGCATGAATAATGTAATTTTGCTAGATGACATTATCAAGGGCGCCTATAATATGCTTGCGAGGCTCTTCAGTTATTCATGAGATAACGTGGTCAAATATACAATACGTATGAAAGACTCCTGTTAGCATAGCGACACTGTTCTCTCAATTTTATAATGGAGATGGGCTGCCGGAAGAGCAAAAGAGTCATGGTTCTTGAGCAAGTAACGAAAATTTAAATTTGCAATTTTTTTCATTTAAAAAAATGTACAATATGATACCATTAAGCAATAAAATATTGGGAAAAGTACAAAAAGTCCTAACCATATTGCATTGATACCAATTTAGTCATAAGCCTTTCAATTGGATCAATTTAGTCCTAAATCTTTTCACATTAGTATCAATTGAGTCCATCCGGCCAATTTAGGTCAGAAATTACTAATGTGGACGTCGGCCGTTCTATGTGGCATGGTTGGCACTGATGTAAATATTTTTTAATATTTTTTTTCTTTTTTTCCTTTTTTCCTTTTCTTTTTTCCTTTCCTTTCTCTTTTTTCTTTTTTCCTTATTTCCCATCGCCGGTCGCCAGTCGCCAGCCTCCATGATGGCAAGTGGTGGTTGCCAGCGAGGGCGAGGGCAGGCATATGTGCTTTCTAATCAAATTTAAATGCATAACGATAATTCCATTAATCTTGAAAACGACATTGAAGTGTTTTTTTCCTTTTCTTTAAAATTTAATATATATTTCTAATGTTATTAAAATGTTTTATTTAGTAATAACTTTTCCATACCGAGGTTGGCTATATTTGGATATTTAAATTCATTTAGGTGTAAATGTGCTTTCTGCCAGCAAATCCCATTGAGCACTAAGCAAGAATTTTCAAGGAAACCGGATGAACTGCATTTGGGACTAACTTTTTCGCAAGGCTTTTGGGCCTATAAAGGCTCTTGACCAAAATACTAGGGTGTTTAGTAAAAAAAATTTAGAGCTCCGGGCAAATGTATTGCATTTTTTAAGTTTTCTAAAGTCCTTTAACCGGCAGATCAGTAGGAACTTTGGCCTTAAGCATTTCCAGAAAGCGAAAACATCTTTTCCCTTAAACTTTTTCCGTCGCTAGATTTTAGAAATTCCCAAAATGCATTCATCGCCGACCACCCTGGGCTACATCATCGGCAATGCCAGTTCTGACTGCCAGCAAGCCAAATCTGGCGCCGGCGAGCCTCACCCAAGGTTGCACGACCTTGGGCAACTGCTACGAATGCCAAATATGGCTTGTTGGCAGTCTGAGCCCTTTTCCGAACATCGGCAAAGGGTTTGAGTTTTCTGTTAAAAAAAATTGTGAAAGTCCTTTACGAGTGTGATTTTTCCAAAACCATTTAAACAAAGTTTGTACTTTTAAATTACAATTTACAATTTACCAAACACAATTTACATTTTGAGAAACTCCTTTAACCTAAAGTTATTTGTATTTCCCCAAAGTTTTCCCCAAAAATCTAACCAAACGTAGCCGAAGGGGTTACTCGGTTGTCTTGGTTTATAAAAAGGTGGCGATGGCCATCACATGATCACTGTCCAAAAGTGGATAGTTGAGTGTCATCTTCTTCGTATGTTTCAAGTGTTTAGAGATTTATAGATATTGAAGCTCTGCGACTATTCTCTCCTTTTCCCACTAATTTCTTCACGCCCTCAATAGTCGTTTTCTCGACTCCATCTCGATCTTACTGATCGCGAATATGTCTTACTGCAACTTTCCGTCGATCTTTGGATGTTTACTTGTAATCCTCCAATTCATTCAAGCGCGCGAAAAAGATATCTGTAGCTTTTTTTTTAAAAAAAATATTGGGTTTATTTTCTGATACAGCACCATATCAGCGTCGCTTGTTATCTAAAAATATTGGGCCTTTGTTTTTAATGCAGTGTCACATTCAACACCGCATCATTCGGCACCACTTTTTTAGCAGTCAAGCGTGAACGAATTTGTTCATGTAAGACATTACCTCTGTGTCGGCGCTTTGGCAACGGAAGAAGAAGAAAATCACCAATGATCCTCGATGGAAATCGAAAGCAAAGACGGGGGGTGGACCTCAACATCCGATCAACAAAAGGGATTATTTCTTTTTCCCCTCTTTGTAATGTATTTATTCAAGAGCCGTTACCCTCAGGCAGAACATAGAATGTGCGCAAGACACACGCATATATATATATATATATATATATATATATATATATATATATATATATATGCGAATTTTGGGGATAAGTACACTAGAAGTGTAATGCTCACTTGAGTGCCATAACTTTTTTTTTTCGCTTACTTGAGTAAAATCGATCACTCAAGCGCCATTTCCGGCAAATCGTCTTACATGGGTTTTTTTTTAAAGTTTTTCATTTCTACATGGAATTTTTAAAAATAAACCGAACTCCAATGTAGTCATTTCTTGCCGTTTCTTTAAAATCTTCCCTAATTAGACGACGTCATTTTCAAACTCTCTCTATTCCTCAAACGACATCGTTTTTCAAACTCTCACTCTTCTTGTCATTTAAGTGGTCACTTTAAAAAAAATTGATGAACCAAGTATTCATCTCTAAAAATTTATGGCACCAAAACGATTATTCGCAAAGTTATTAGAACTTCTGCTATCCTTCAATCAGACACTCAAGTAACATCGTTTGCCTTCTCAAGTGCTGACTTCAGCTTTCCGACATGTCACGTCGAATGATGTATTATAAATTAATGTCACATCGGCTTTTCCGATGAAGCAAATCGACAATGACACTCAAGTAATCGATTTTTCAAATTTGTGACACTCAAATGAGCGAAAAAAAGTTATGGCACTCAAGAAAACGCCATGCAAAAGTTATGGCATTCATAATGTACTTATCCTGCAAACTTTATCTTCAACCATTGTGCCTTTTTTTTTCCAATTGAACCGTTGTGTTTGACAAGGATTCTACAACATCCGCAAAGGATTTGGTCACCCATATTATTCTAAACTTTAGCCAACAAAGAGAGATGAAAACTCTGCAGAAACTGTCCTGGGGACTTGTTATCTTCTCAAAGCTCACAAGCACCACACATTGCCTTCCCACTCCCAAGAACACGCGCACGCTCGCTCTCTCTCGCTCGCCAACCGCGACCATGCCCACTCTCCTCCACTTCACTCCTCCCTTCTCCCTCCTCAAACACCCGCCGCCCGCCTCCGCCGCCCCCTCCTCCCTCCTCCGCCCTCCCCGCCACGCCCTCCGCCTGGCTCGCCGCCGCAGCTCCTCCGGCCCCATAAGAGCCCACAAGGTGGTGATAGAGCACGAGGGCCAGGCCACGGAGCTGGAGGTGGAGCCGGACGAGACCATCCTGTCCAAGGCCATCGACTCGGGCCTGCCCGTCCCCCACGACTGCAAGCTCGGCGTGTGCATGACCTGCCCCGCCCGGCTCGTCAGCGGGTCCGTCGACCAGAGCGAGGGCATGCTCAGCGACGACGTCGTGGAGCGCGGCTACGCCCTCCTCTGCGTGTCGTACCCGACGTCGGATTGCACGATCAAGACCATCCCCGAGGAGGAGCTCTTGTCTCTGCAGCTCGCAACTGCTAATGACTAGAATACGAATTTCGTCTTGTGCCTGAAAACGTCAAAATGTTCTTTTTTCTCTTTTGTCTTTTTCCCTTTCCCTTCGATTATATGTGGTGGGATTTTGATGGAATTTGGTGTTGGTTAATTTTAATGGGGAGAGATCACGAATCAAGAGTTCTTCAGTTTTCTTGTTCAGAGAATATTTACGGGTCAACATTCATGGACTGCATAGCTGTAGTGGTGGTTAAAGTATGATGTTGCGATATCAATACTAATTGATATGCTGATTCAAAAGCAAGCATTCAAAAATTGAATCAAATTCTACAGTCCGTTGCATCATTTCGCAAATCAATCCTGTAGGTTGGTTATTCTACGGTTAAGGGATGAAGATAGCTAAAAAGGAGTGCAGTCATGATGTGGCTGTGGCTTTGAGGAGATGACAGACAGAAGAGCATCTTAGTTCAATCCTGGAATGTAAGGAATTTATTATACATAATGTGCACTCGTGGCTCCCTTAGCATTGAACTCTGAGGACTAGGAGTTTCAAGCAGAGACGCGAGTTTGAGTTTTCTTATTGTTAATGTAACACCAGACAAACATGGGAAAGGTAATTTTAGGTGGATTAAGTTAACATGTGCATTGAAAAGCTTGAATTCAGTCTGTGGTTGCAAATGGGATTTGGCTGCGTTGCCTCCTTGGTGGTGGAGGGAATCAACTTATCTTAGTTACATGAATTTGTTTAGGAAGTTAAAGTTGGAATTTTGGTATGAAAACATTCAAAAGGAAGGAGATTTCTTGCTTATCCGGAATGGTGTTTGCAGGAATCATGAGATAATTGACACCTTCTCTGCAAAAAATGAAAATGTCATGAGATAGATGTATTGATTTGGCAAACTAGTTATGATCAACAAGAATTTTCTCTCAAAAATTTTCTTGGCTTATGGACAAAAACCTTCATTGATAAAACAAACTTGTCTATCAACAGTAGGACTAGAAACCTTGTACTTGTCCAAGAGGTTTGTTCTACTTCTGTCTGTTACAGCTTTCAGAGGATATTCTTGTTCAATAGTCCATCCCCTAAAAATGAGCAGATAATACTCTCTCGCTCTCTCTGCAAAAACTCATCTCCAGGAGAAAAGTAATGCATTACAATGTCATGCAACATTCTCTAGATCATATAAGCAAAAGTTGCATCTACCCATAAACAGTCACCACCAGAACAGCAGAATTCCATTCTAATGTGCTCCCAATTAGAGAGCTGATGACTCTGCTTCTAAATTGTGGCTTGGTTGGCTTTCTTCGTTTTTCGTTGCTTAAGTTTCACCTTCACGTTAACCCCATTATCAATAACAGCCTGAAGCACAATCGTAAGCTTTCCCTCCAATTTCTCCCCTTTCCTCGGCGTATAAATTACGTCATGAATGTCATCAGCCAACGCTCGCTGAGCCAGAATTTCGCCAACAGCAGCGCAAGCAGCTGCATTTCTAGTCGAAGCCAGATCGAACTTCATGTCTTTCGAAATAGAATGTGCCACAGCAACGACTTTGCTCGTCGCCCTGTGAATTATACATGCACGAACAGAGGCCTTCGATATGTAAATATCCAGGCAAAACGGTTCATGGTAAGGACCTGTGAGTTGATTAAATGTCGGAGTCCTCAACCTCTTCTTGCTTGAAGTGCAATCGACTTCGGCTTCATCCAGCAGAAAAGGCACATTCTTTTTCTTTGCAGCTTTGGGAAGTTTTTCATCTCTGGTGACTAAACCTTGGTCTTCCTTCTTCTTGCTTTCCTTTGGATCTTCTCGCCGCTTTGGGGATTTCTTCCTATGGAAGTCAAAACTGTACTCTTCGAACTCCTTGGATGCCTTGTCAATTTTGTAAAAGAGATTGCCTCTTATCCGCATGTTATCAATCTCATCGAAGTCGGCCTCTTCCTCGACAGATGAAGAATGATCCTCATACTCCTCTGTCGTTTTGGTCAAATTTTCTGTTCCCAACGACCTCCTTGGCCCCTGCCATGCCTGCGCCAACCCAGCAGAGACCCGCCACTGGTCGTCATCCACAACCTCTATGGCACAACCAGCTAATGAAGGCCTGCCATCAGCAAACAATGGAGAAAGCTGCATTCTGTTCGAACCGCGAGCAGTTGTTCTAGGCCCATTATAAACCAACTCGGACCGACCCTTTTCGATTCCCCTATCAGCAACTTCAGACGCACTCGACCAAACACTGACCAACCTCGGAAGAAAACGAGAGTTGACCCCTAACGTTACTGCAACGCCTCTTCTCAAGAAAGTAAATGCCATAGTGTGTGCCTCGGAGACGTCGCAGGATCGTAGAGTTAGACCCACCTCGACAAATCAATGAAATCGTAAAAATAAGATGATCACAAGGAGCTCTACGTAAAAATCCATCAGTCGTGGCGCATGAGCTGAAAAATCTTCGGTGGAGCAATTCGTCGAACACCTCATATGCAGGCTACTCTTTCTCGTTCGTTTCCCGCCAAGCAGAGCGACGGAAGTAGTGGGCTTAGCTCCGCGTGCTGAGTCCGCTGACTGCTGGGGCTTCGCAAGTGCAAAAGGTGCTGATCCCTTCTTATCTCCTGATTCGGGGATCGACCGAATGACTTGATTTCCACAGGGGTTGAGGGACAATATGGAGACCCTAGGGTGCCCTTGTGAGCACCTCGTAAGCAAACAAGAGCTGACGATTGTCAAAACTGGTACTCCATTAGGATTTTACAGTGCCAACGTGAACCATTTCACCGGATCGCTACTCTCTGCAAGTCTTGAGGCAAACCCAACTGTTTTGACTGTCTTTTCTTCTCTCCTGATCTGTTTTTTGGAGATTGTGTGTGTGAATAAATTTTTGCAGCTGGTTTTAGGTGAACATGGAATCGAGTTCAACCATCAGCCATCGAGGAAGATGTCCATGGCCTAACTCTATAATCTCTCCAAGATTAGGCTTATCTTCTCTCCCGATTTAGATTTAGGTCTAGATTCGAAAGTTTTACTCTCTCGATTTAGATTTAGATTTAGATTTAGGAGTTCCTTACAGCTATTTGATTTGTGTTCTTTTAACATATTGATGTTGGTGTCTCTGTACGGTCATGATGATGAGAACGTCGAATCTAGACGCACACCACAAGCCATTGCAAATGGAGTGGGAGATCTTGGCGTATGTTCATCACTAAATATAGTGATCGGTCGCCGAACGTTTACAGTAATAAATCTATTTTTTAGGGATAAGAGTGTTTTTAGTTGCAGACTGTGATTTGTTATTTGTGTTCTGGTAGTTGCTTTATTTCGCAATGTTAGGGATTTGTTAGATTTGTATGCCTTCTAAGTACCTCCGAATATTATTATAATGAATGGAATCTTTCTTTCGAAAAAAAAAAAGTTGATTTAAAAGGGCTCTTTAACAAAATCCTTTCCTACATTTGGTTTGATCGGGTTAAATTTCTAGAAAACTAAAAATTACGCATTAATTCGGGTTCTAAATTTTCTCGAATCTGATTGAATGGTAATGAGATTTCAAATTGCGCAACAAGATTAAGTTCTCAAAAGTCAAAATCGATTAAATTGGGTTACACTACCATTATTATCACATATAAAGAAAAGTGTCAGAAAAATCTTAAACTTATTACATATATGCAAATTTAGTTATACACCTTTTGATATAGTGTCAATTCAATCCTTTCGACTAATTTTGGAATATGAACACCAACCGGCCTAGTGACAATTCAGTCCTTTCGACTAATTTTGGCCAGTTATTGTTGACGTGGACACCAGTCTACATGGCACGGTCAGCACTGACATGAATAACTTTTAATAATATTTTGATATTTTTTAGAATTTATTTATTTATTTTATTATTCTTTTCTTCTTCTTTTTTCTTTCTTTTTCTTCTTTTTTTTTCCTTCCCACCCTTCTTCCTCCGGCCAGTCACCGAACCTCGCCGACCGACTAGAGGCTAGGGCCGGTGAGCCTCGTCAACCACTAGTGAGGCTCGCCCTAGCCAAATCAGGCCAGGGTCGAGCTGGCGAGGCTCCAACCCTCGCCCAATAGCTGGCAAGGCTCCAGCCCTCGCCTTCGACCTCACGGCCTCTAGCGATGGCAACGGCGACGGCGGCTGGGCCAGGCTCGCTATAGGGTAGTAAGGTTGACCTCGCCGGCCCTAGCCTCTAGCCAATCACCGAGATCCAGCTACCGGTGGGAGGAAAAAGGGAGAGGAAGAAAAAAATATATAAATCAATAAAATTCAAAAAATTATTAAAAAATTATTAAAAGTTGTTCTTGTCGGCGCCAGCCGTACCACATAAGTTAACTGACGTCCACGTCAGCAATATCCGGCTAATTGACTGAATTAGCACTACATCAAAAGGTTTAAAACTAAATTAACACAAGAAAAAGGTTTAGAACTAAATTGATACTAAATTGTCCAAATAGGTCGGAGTATGATAAAAACAAAATTAAAAAAGGTCGGAGAATCCATCTCGGGTTCGAAACTGGATTTGGTTGCATGCAAGATTAATCGAATCCAACCAGGAATGGGAATAGCCACAGCCCAAACTTGTCTCACCGTCGTTACTAGTGATTTTCGAGCCGAAAAGTTATACCCGCCGAAAGAAGATTCACAAATGAAACCTTGAACCAAATACGTCTTCTTGCTTCAAGCCTTCCTCTGTTCCTTAGTTAGATTCTTGAACTGCTACGGTGAATCACCACGGAAGTTTTGAGTCCGGACTTTCTTTGACACATCCGAGGTAGCACACTTGATTGACGCCAATGATGGGGGAGTCGAGACAGAGTGGCTTACGAGTTCCTTAACTGGAGCCCCGCACCGGTGTCGAATAGCGATGTTTCTGCAGAATCCACCCCACGCACAGCTCAATATCTGTCCCCATCTTGTCTGTATCCTCGTCATGTTTTCCCTCTTTGTCCAGAGCCACTCGTGTCATCGTCTCGATGTCTTTTCTTAAGTCGCATCATGTTCCTTCCAGAGTGTCCGCGCTACGTATTTTATTGCAAGCGTCGAACGTGCAATGGAAAGCCAAGCACTTTCGAGGAAGAAGCAAAAATCAAAGCATGGGGGCGTGATGAGAGGGGCACCAATAATGCCTCGCTCCCGATAGGCTCAATCGAAATCCAATCCGGTCGACACCAACAGTGACGAACTTGTTTAACAGAGGACACGATTAGACGACACATGATTCAAGTTTCAGGGTTCACCGACCAAAACCCACCATTGGTGGGGCGAAAACAAGACAGTTCTGACCCACAAGAGTTTCAAGATATACCATAATCTGCGTAAGTGCTAACAAGAATCACTCACTCTAATGAAGAAAACCATGGATCATCTCCAATCATCAAATTAAAGACAGTAAGTTCGAACCTCATAGGAATACCCACCAAAAGCATGTATAGCGGGGAAGGGGAAGATGACCCACAAGTAGGGGGCGGGGGGGGTGGGGGGGGTGCGGTGTATGTTAATAAGTCTTTTTTCTACAATCTATTACCATCAATAGAGTTCCTTCAAAGAGTCCCAAAGTCTGTCACGATGCCATCATAATTACTTTTCCACAATCGCCTAGAGCTACAGATCAACATCAGAAATACAGATTCTTACCGCCGACTTGGCAAGAACATGGGAAAAGGAAATTAACACACAGATACTGCTACCGTTGACAAGGTTAGTGATTACAATAACAAGGCAAGTGGGAATTGAAACAGATTATGGTCATCATATCAGTGGTTACCATCTTCGGGTTTGTCAATTCTCTATCGGTAGTAAGCCTGCTGATAAGCTGAAGCCTGCTGATAAGCTGGTGCCACGCCATTTCCATAGCCACCATAGGGAGAATAGTTCATGGGAGGTGCAGGGTATGATCCGGCGAGAGGTGGTGGAGCTGCTTCGGGCGAGTAGGCATAGGGGTTTGCCGGTGGACTCAAGCCACCATACATGGGCTGTGGCGAATGGTATGTTGGGACTCCAGCTGGGTATTGACCATGTGAGGGCGACCGCACATATGCAGGAGCTGCGGGGAAAGAGGAGACGTATGCATTGGCCAGACGACCAGCTTTTGCAGGAGGCATAGGTCCACCATTGTTGGCTCTTGTTCTTTTGTTGGCTGGAACAGCAGCTGGTTGCCTTTTCTTCTCGATCTTGACCTTCTCTAGTTGGTCAAGGCGTTTCTTGAGATTTTCTGGGGGGAACTGAGCTTCGAGCTTGTACTCCTCAATGCACTTTAGAACAGCTCGCAATGCTGACTGCTCTTTGCGTGAAGCCAGGTTCTGTCATAAAACATTCCTCAGGTGACTGTCAAATTCAATCTACATAAAGTACATCTTAATATAGATAGTAATGGTGTATCAGGCAGAAAACTCAGTGATAAGGTGGTTCCAAATGAGCTTATTCCGCACATATTGCTCAGCAGAATAATTTAAAGACAAAAACCTTACGCAAGACAGAGAGCTTGAAGCGTGCATGAGGACACAGTTTTTTCTGTCTAGGCGCATGCATAAAGCTTGTGTTGCCGTGCTGCATGGCATTAAGCTTCACCATGTTTCAGATGGATATTACCATGATATAAATTCAATGACAACCCACTTTGTCATTCTAGTTACTACACGTAGGTTGAAGGCTGGAAAGTTAAAAGAAACAAATCCATGCAGTAAATGGAGAATACCTAGGACATCCATCAAACAACGGAAACTCTTGCAAGACTAGAGGAAGGATTGCAACACATAAGACTAAGAATGATTTCTCTAGCAGTTATGCACTTGGTGGTGCCTTTTGTACTAAAATTCCTTCCAGCATGCAGAGAAAAGGCAAAAGATGAAGAGTACCGCAGCTCGGCCAGCATTGTTAGGATCCTCCAGCATAATAGCTGCAGCTTTGCGCGCATCTTTCAGAAAAGCCTTCAACAGAGGTACAGGGGGGAACACGTTTACCAAACCAACTTCATAAGTAAAATGCACAGCATCTAGCTGCTGTCCCCTGCTGATTAGTTCCTTGATAATATCTGCAGATAAAACAGCCGAGAAACAAACCAACTTAGCATTCATCTACTTTAGAGAGGGAAAAAGCTGACAAGTTCAGGACAAAGCATGCTACAGAACTCTTCAACACATCCTACCTCTCTGCAACACATAAAAGCTAAAAGTAAGTTCTAATCACTCTTAGGCATCCATCACAAAAAACCTCATCACTTGATTACCCAAAAATCTCCCAGGTAACGGCTGAGATGCCACATATTCCACATCAGCATAGGCTTATGACTAATAATTTTTATCCCTGATTATAATGACAGAAGAGGGAGGGATCCACATATCATGGTCAAAGAGAGAAATTGCTATCTTCAGACAATGCATCATCACCCATTATTAGGAGAGCCAGCTTGTCAAAAGAACATTTCATCGGGGGAAGAAATCATCAAAAAGAATTCAAAGGAACATATTGCCAGTGGAAATAATCCAGAAGATAAGCGAATAAACTGGATGCTTAATTGTCCCATATCTTGTCAATTCAATACCATACTCTCACCAGAAATCCAACAAGTACCAGTGGCTTCTCCAAAGATAGAGGTTGCTAAATTGTCAGAACCAAGTAAATTCTGGGAAAAACAAAACAACCATTGGCCTTCTTCATCTACACTGAGTCCAGCACAAGGGAAACATTTTTTATCCACTGCCAGAGTCTTTTTTCTCAACATAAGATGCACACTTCATTGGTATTCTCAGAAGAATCCCCATATCTCGTCAAAAGCTAGTTTGACTGGCTGGGCAGAACTTTGATCTTATCTTTCTATTCTAGTTTCCAAACTCAATGTACACAAAACCCTCTCCCAAGTTCATCCAGTAACGGACGTCAAATAACCCTCTATTTGCTTCAACTAAATCAGATTACTTCCCTACTCCACCACAAAACCTCGAAAATAAAGACCCAGATCCTTGTGGAACATCTTCCCTTTCCTACCGCTGTGAACTCGCAATATCCACTGAAAGTGAATGAAAAATCCTAGCCTCACATATTGCAACCCAGACACCGCGGTTCTTTTCATTCTGCGGAGAAATTTCCCAGAGATTTCGGCAAACTACAACCGACGTTCACGAACCTTGGACTTCAGTTCCGAAATTAGGAACAATAATGAGCATAAGTGAACAACCCTCAAGAGCTAACATGATACAATTAGCGCAGCAA